AAATTATAAACACATTTTGTGTATTTATTTTGCATTTATGGGTCACTCCGTGTAGTTCAACGGTTTGTACCTCTTTTTTAATGCACAGTATATGCTATGAAAAGTCGCCTTTCAATTGATATTCATTAAAGTGTGTTATCTATTATGCGCTCAAATGTCATTCATATGTATCTGATTTGTATTGACTCGCAATTTAGGGCTTAACTGCATTTGAGGGATGAGTTTTTGAGTGCTATTTCTATTCACCAAAACTTGTCGTATAAATACAGTTGCGTTGAAAAACACAGTTTTCATCGTTTGATTGATTGGTTTTTTAATGAATTATTTAATAGTTTTTTCTATTGATTGAGGATTTGTTTGATGAGAAAAACTATTTTGGGATTTGTTTTAAACGCTAAATATTTTTCTCTACCATTTGTATGACTACTGGACGCCCAGTGCGACGACATGTCCAACGCTGGTGGTGGTGGTGATGATGACGAGGACCTACACTCGCGAGCCTTACTGCGGGCTATTGTGGGCTATTTGGGCACAATTGAGACGCCAGCGGACGGTCACATCGACGCCCATCTCATCAAAGACTGTATAAGACGTATACGAGTGGAGAACAAGTGTCAGACGCAGCACCTGTTGGCCGTATACCAGGACAGTGTGCACCTCGTGAACGGTAGAGGCCGTACGATCGCCCAGTTCGCCGCCGATAGCCTCAAGTCGTGCGGCATCTGCGCCGACGATCAGAAGTACTTCGCTATCATTACGGCCAACACGGCTACCGGTGCCGCCGCGACTGCCGATACCGGGGACGCGAGTGGCAGCTATTCGTGTCACGTGTTCACTACCGGTGCGACCACTCATCAGCAGCACTATAAGACGGCACAGAATTTCGGGATTAAATGCACATTAGATCCCGTGTCCGGGCATTGTCTCGAGTTTCCCGGTATTTGTGTTTAATTATGAGTTATTTTTTCGATTGATTTGTGTTTTTAATTGTATTTGTGTTTTGTTTGACAGAGAGTTCGGACTCTATATTACGGGTAATCGTAGGCCTGTATCGGCACAAAGTCGGGTGCGCGCCGTCGGCCATGGCTACCGTCGCCCACAGCCCGCCCGGCGCTCGCCATAACAGCGCCAGTAATAGCGACTCCGGGATCACCGAAGAGAACAGTCGCTCGCCCGACGCCAACCATACCGTCCCCCCGGTGTCTCGCAATCAGTCGTATAATAGCGAGCGCCTGGAGGCGCAGTTGAATGCGGCGAACGTTAGGCAGACTGTCCACAAGTACTTGAAGTTAAAGCACGACTTGAAGACTATAGGCTTTCCTACGGATCCCCAAATGGGTGGACAGAAGGCGCCGGTGGATAGTGAGCTCAGTGCCAACGACTGTAAGCAGCGCCTGGAGTCCAATGAGGGGTCGATGTTTAAGGCGCCGCGCGGCTCGGCCTACTCGCTGGCCTCCAATGGGAAGCCTGTAATGCCGGCCACCCTTTCCAAAGAGAATCTGGAGCTTAATAATGAGGTACAGGTGCTGTGCGATTGCGCAGTGAATTGTTTGTTGAGTTTTAATTAGTTTCTTAATTGAGTTTTTTGTTTATTTGATCCGTAGATCACTTCGGGTTACGATTTGGACACGAAGTCGTCGATGAGTTTGGAGGGAATGCCGCCCATGAGTGACACGGTGTCGGCCGCCAGCGCTAGTGTGGTGTCGGAGCGACCCGTAGACGTGGGTTGGGTCGGCGGGTGGGCCCAAGACTTCGAGAAACTACTGTCCGATAGCGTGGGACTCAAAGTGTTTGCCGTATGTATTGAAACAGTTGTTGTAGTATTGATTGCAGTGTTTAATCGTTTGCCTATTCGGGTAGGAATTCCTCAAAAAAGAGTTCAGTCACGAGAACCTCCAGTTCTGGATGGCCTGCGAAAAGTACAAACTTCTCACTGATAGCGCACAGGTATGTGTCATATCTACCCGCCCCCTCTCACTCACTCCCAATCACTCACTATTGCTATCCCTTATATCAGTTGCGAACTGAAGCCAAAGCCTTATACGACCGGCACTTATGCACCGGCGCTCCCGAGGCGGTCAATATCGACGGTCGCGCGCGACTCATAGTGGAGACAGCGATGGACGAGCCGACGCCCGGCCTGTTCGCCGCCGCCGAGAAACAGGTGATCCGGAAATGGATTATAAATTATCACTGAATCTAATGAATGGTTTTGTTGTTGTTGTTGTTGTTGTGGTCACCGAAAACAGATCTATAATCTCATGAAATTTGATTGCTATCAACGGTTCCTGAAGTCAAACATCTATAAGGAGTGCGTATCGATGGAACTCCAGGGCCGAGCGCTGCCCTACGAGTGCTCGACCGCACCGGGCGTTGATAGCGACGGCACCGGCGATGATAATCATCGCTTCAAAGACACGCAAATAAACACAATTAAGCCGAAGAAGCGGTCGTTCATACCGTGGCATCGGATCAAGTCGTCGAAGGCCGAGAAGCAGCAGTTGAAGCGCCTGAACGCCAAGCAGACGTACGTCCGGTGCAAGTCTGCCTGCGATCACCACAACAGCGGCGCCAGTAGTGTCACCAACAGGTCCGACGTGACGGGCAGTCAGTCATCGTTGGCCACCAGTGATCAGCAATCCATGAATGGCCGCCAGAAAGCCATGTATTTGATGTCGAAGTCCAAGGAGTCGTTGGATAAGATGGGAAGGGCTGTGACGCCGGCGCCCGCAGGCAATGGTAGCCATCACTGCCAGGACGACGACTGTCACCTGTTGTGCGTATTACTGCCCGACCGGTCGCAGACTGTAGTGCCTCTGGTGGACGGGCAGACTGTGGGGCAGATGGTCGAGGGTTTGCTGCGGAAACGTGGACTCAATTACTCGGCGTTCGACGCCTTTGTCACCGGATCTGATAAAGTGATAATCTTTTTGTTTGTATGCCATTTGATTGTAATTTAAACGCCATTTCCCGCGCAGTCGTTGGACCCGACGCTAGACGTGTCGACTCTGGGCTGCAATGAGGTTCGTGTGGAACAACGGGTGCTCTTTGAGATAGATTTCCCCAATCGGGAGGTCATTGGCATCAAAGCTCGCACTTCCAAGTCTTGCGGCGATGTCTTCGGACCACTGCTCGCCAAATATGGCTACAAATTAGAGCACATTGTCCTACAAATTGTGAGTCTCACTCTCTCTCTCTCTCTCTCTCTCTCTCTCATACTCTCTCATACTCTCTCTCTCATACTCTCTCCAATGCTCTCTCATTGTCTCAATACTCTAACGAATACTTTAATCCCAACCCTTAGGCCAACTCCTCGGAAGTGGTGGCAAACGATATGCCGATCGCACGGCTCGACAACCAGAGGATAATAGTGAGCATAAGCGACGACTTGGAGGAGTGGGGCTGGGATTGTGTGTCCAGTCGTATGCCCGTAGCCGTAGACAAGTCGCGGACAGTCGTGTCGTCCCCGTCGACGGCCACCGACGACGACAAACCCATTCGCGTACTAAACGACTCCCTATTCGACAAACACTCGGATAAGACGAGTTCGTCGGAGAAGGAGAATCGCCTACCGGTGCCCACCGTAGCCGACAGTACCGGTGCGGGTGGTGTGGGCTCAGCCGTGAAGGAGGCGCTGGCGGACAGTCGACTTGCAATCGACGGCCAGAACGTGAGCTTCAGTGACGACACGAAATCGGAGCAGTTTTTCCGCGACTTAATGCTCGCCTCACAGCACCTGCCCGTCCACTCGCCCATCAATTCGCTGAAAAGTTGTGCCAAAACAATGCCGGCGCCCATCGCACCGGCAGTCAAACCCAGTACGAGACGAGCGATTAACAGCCAATACTATACTAACGGCGCGATTAACGGCCCCTTAGATGGAGAGTCGGCGCTAATGGCGTGCGATTTGTCGCCTATAGAGCCGTCCCATCGGTCGATCACAACCTCCCGGTGCTCTCAACAGCAGCCGGTGCTAAATGACATCGATTTGGACGCCACGCTTAAGAGCATACAGTTATATAACATGAGAAACGCCGACAAAACAATGAGTCCGTCGGGTATACCATACCCTCAACAGCCGGCGCTCACTACCGACGCCCTGTTGGACGTGTCGGCGCCCGACTTCACGCCCCCACCGCCCGTCCGGACGATGCCGTTGACGAGCAAACACTACAAACAATTGGCGCCCACTTTCGCGCCCCCATTACCTCCCAAACCTCTGGGCGCCGGTAGACCTGATCGCGGGCCCCCTCCCCGACCTCCCAGCGCTCGCCATATGACTGTTAATGCGAATACTAATAACTCGTTTGTCCGGAGTTTGGATAAGACTATCGATTCAAGCGTTATATTTGTGTAAAAAGTTTTTGTTTGAAATTATATACGATTTACTAAACGATCGCTTATTGTGTACAAAATGTTATGATTTCTATGTATAGCGAGAGTTGACTGTATATTCATTGAAACGCCTATAATATGTACAAACAGTTAACAGTTTATTCATTAAATTATATTTACAGTAATTTCTATAATTAAACGACTATTTTATTTGACTTTTTGTTTGATTCCAAACGTCCTTTTCATACCATAAACACATTGAGTGCTATATATGAAAAGGGTCCCCAAAAAATGCCTTTGATTTTGTAAACTTTATATTCAATTAATAGAATTTTATTAAAAATTTATATCAAATATCACAAAATTATAATTTCAATACTAAATACTAATTACAAGAATTGCACAAAATTAGGATACAATTTATTATTCATTTAATGAGTTTATAAATGAGTTCAAACAACGTTTACATGTATTTAATTAATAGTAAATTAACAAAAAAGTCATTCAATTATTTGTAATACATATGGAAAGACTTGAATTGGAAAAACACACACAAAAAATACAATTAAATATTAATACAGTTGTTCGCAATACTTATGTAATTAATGGCACTTTAGAGGTCATAGAAAATATTTAAAAACAATTAGCTATTCATTAACTATCGTATCGTTTGTTCACAAAAAAAATTCATTTAATATATTATTTATCATATATTTTTGGATTATATAAAAAATTTATCACAAAATATGTCCGAAATATCAGATCTTAGATTCAATTTGTCGTCAAATTTCGGACAAAACACTTAAATATTGCAAAACTTTTGGGATCTGTTTGTCAGTCACCGGTCGCTAAACACTGACCACAGCTTTGGCCAAACCCTTCTTCACGAGCTCAGCGGATATGTAGACGTCTTCGGCGCCACTCGTGTCGCACAACGAGAGTGAGAGCACCGGCTGCTCGTCGACTGAATTAATGGCATAAACTGTCGCAACGAAAGGACGACTTTCAACCAGTTTTCGAAACTCAACCGAAGTCATGACATCCCAGTCGGCGCCCAACGGCTCGACACCTGAAGGGAACGACACATAAATTAATGAAATTATAGCTAACGGTGCGATCTATGCTTACCCGCGAGTGAGGCTCTGATCGCTTGCGCCGGGAGATCGCGAAACGTATTATAAAGCGGTTGAATGTCTTTGACATCGAGGGTCAGGTGTTCGCCGTAATCACACAGATATGTGACGACTTGGAAGGGCTCACGACTGATGACATTCTTCACTTCCATCCGATACCAACACTCACGTGCTTTTCCCGCGACATACAGGCCCTCAGAGACCACATCTGCTGTCAAGTCAATCCTATTGTCGTCTCTTTCGTAGAAGTCATGCATCCGTTGCTTGAGTTCAGCGAAAGCGGATCCGATGGACACGTTGTCGAAGGGAACGACTATGAAGTTCTTAGGAGTAGCCACCAGTAGGACCACCACATCGTAAAAGTCCTCATTGCGAGTGGGCGTCGGGTTCACTGACGGCAACACTGGCGCCGGTATGGGTCGACTCCCGGCCAACACGTTGTCATTGCCGGCGAACGCATCGACAGCCCTCTCATCCCCGGCCGCGTCTATCACCCGACCCTTCGGTCCGCCATTTGTGGAGCCATTGGTCGGTGTCTTTGGCGCCGGTATGGCAACGGTCGGTGCGTCCGATGGCATAGCTTTTGGCACAATCTGTTGGACTTTTGGCGGAGTGACCGGCGCTGTCGGCACCGGTGGTGGCGATGAGGTGTCCATTGGTTTGGCGGCGGCTGTCGGCGCACTGGGAGTCGAAGCGCCGGTAGACTTTCGGACAGATTTGATGGGCAGTGCGATGAATGTCTTCGAGACATTTGAGTAGTTTTGACTGAAATGAGACAACAATCAGTCATTTTGTGGTTAAACTCATCGCATATTATGTGCTTAACCGCCGATGACTTACACATTGACTTCAATGACATCCCGTCCGCACTCTTCGAGCACTCGGATCCAGTCGTCGGGCAATGGCTGTCCGTATCGGCGCTGGTATTCAGCTTTGATCCCGACGTCGAACCACGGCTTCAGCTTATTCTCAGACAAAATCTGAAGACAAATAATCATTAAAAGTGACCACAAATCAGACACCACTTGAGACAATACTCACGCTTATGATGCGCTCAATCCATACAACACTGGACTCGTTTGGACTCATCTGCGGATCAAAAGACAATCAAATTATCACTAATTATAATCAAATCCATCGCCAATTGATACAAACCATGGACTGATGGCTGCGTTGAGTGCCAAACGATGCCATTTGTGTCAGTGTTTGCGACGAAGACATCACTCTATGGATCCAATGGTTTTGTGGTCACTATTCCGGGAAATAATGGACACAAAGACAGACAAACAGTTTAATTGTAAATCAAATACTGAATTAAAACAAAAGTTTAATTGAGTTTTAATCACAATTAAAGTGACAATACAATACAATCGCAAACACAACACTAAAATCACTCACTTTTGCACTCAAAAAGCAGCCGATATTTGAGTGCATTATACTCACAGCAATTTAGCACCTTTTATCACTATATGATTACTATGGATAACACGCATGCAATGCTTATGTAAAAAGGGCCCATAAGTGACATAACTGTATTTTGCAATGAATTGGCATTCTTTGCATACTTTCGTCACTTTTTATTAACGGTTAATGCAGTCAACTATCGGTATAGTATACAGTAATAATATTTAGCAGTATTTAAGCTTTATTATGAAAAGCAACTAGGTCATTAATTACAACTAGCTATTAACTTATTAAAAATATAATTAAAACATTTAAAATAATTTTCACATTAAATACTAGCATATAGTGTTATATATAGTGTAAACTGTATGTCAAATTCAAATTAATGTTAACTATAAAGGGGTTTATAAATATACATATATTCGTATCGTTTGTTATGAGTGGCTCCACTCAATATAAATCCATACAATACCTCACTCGACACACAAATAATCGTAACGGTATTTACTAATGTCTCTCTCATAAGTAGACATTATTGTTGTTATCATTGAAAACACATTTTCACAGCAATTGGCGATTGAATTGCAAACCATTTTCACGATTAACTCAATTAAACGCGTGGTTACGAGTGGACAGACATGTTGTTATCGAGAGTACCGGCGCTCGTGAGACCCGTGCTTACGCAGGCGGTCCGCAGGTCGCACTCGGAGGTCACATACAAGGGACAGGTATGTCGTGATTATGTAACCATTCAATCGCTGTGTGATTATCACACCATAAACTTAATTCATTTGCAATGATACTAACCTATGATCCCATTCCTCCCGTTCCCCTCCACACAGAACATACCGTTTGACATAACCAATCACCGGTTGTTCGCCATCAAGATGACCCTGTTCTTCGCGGTGCCCTTTGCCGTGCCATTCATTATCGTGAGGTATCAGCTCAAGAAAGCTAGCGGTCAGTACCAGTAGGCGCTGGTAGTAGTGGACAGGGATGTAGTACTGACCCGACGAGTAAAACTGTTTGAATCTCTAATTGTATTGAATTGATAATTGCATTAATAATTAGGTTTTTATGTTTGAATGCATTAATACAGTGATTATAATCAATTGAATAGACTTTGATTTTGCGTTATTTATAGCGATTATTATTTGTCTTAAAATTGTGTCTCTTTTTGCTAACCATTCAATAGATTTGTATAAAAAATTATATATTTTTTTTGGGGGAATTTAATCTCGATTTTGTGTTTTTTCTCAATTGATTGTAATCTCGATTAGTATTTGTTTGATAATTAGATCTTATAATTGAAATGTAAAGTCATTTACAAAAATAAAAACTATGTTTTAGTTACGAATTGAATTCACACTTAATATTATAAAATGTATAATAATTTAGTCAAAACTTTTTAGTGTTTTTAAAACCGTATTTTAATAGCAATTAAATTTAAACACCAAAGTTAGAGTTGATTTAGTAATAAATTTTACATCAATTTGAATAATAATTGAGACAAATGTTAAAAAAAAACTTATTTTAAATTAAAAAATTCAATTAAATGTATCGATTAAATGGTTGGACCAATTCAGGAGGGAAGTGGTACACGTGTTCAGTCCAGCGCCATATCATCGTCACCTTTGGTGTCCCCTCTGTCAGTGGGCGCCCCTTTGGACCCCCCTTTCGACTGTTGCTTTTGGAGGGCTTTCACGAAACTCTCCATATCTTTGAACAGAAAATCACAAAATAATTAAATTAAACGCAATTCAATGCAATCAAAAATAGCGGGGAACGGTAGGGAACGGGGTGGTGGTGCGCATTACCCCCTGCATTAGCGGCGTCCACGCACTCCTGTCCCAACGCGAACTGCTGTATGAGTGGACCCAACTGTCCGGACTGTAAGGCCGACGAGAATGTGCTCAACGCCTGTTGAAACTGCGGCGACTGTACGGTGGAGGCGAAGGCCAGGGATGTGGTCGAGTGGTCGTCCCCTTCGCCCTCACCCGTCGGCAACGACTCCCTCACGCGACGCATGAAGTCCTCGTTCGTCAGCAACGGTTGCAGCGCTTCCAGCGTCAGACTCGACGACAAGTCCACTGAAAAAAAAATCAAAACAAAACAAATTATCATTAAATACACGAAAACATCGGTTAAGAGACTATTATCTCATTACCATTGAGTCCGTCACCATCCTTACCACCGATCGGGACATTCAGACCGCTTATAATGCTCTGCAAATCGGCTAATTGTATACCGGGTGCCAAACTCGCCGCCAGTCCACCGGCGCTACCTGTGCCACCAGTCCCGGTGGCAGCGCCCGAAGCGGCGCCGGTAGCCGGAGACGTGCCGGTTGTGGTCAACGAGGACTCGCTGGTGGCCGCACTCACCACAGCCGGAGTGGTGGCCGGCGTTTGCGGGGCCGCTGGGGTCGACACCTGCGACACGCCCGCACTACTACTACTGCTCGTATTGCGAGCACCGGTAGCCGCGCCCAACAGCGAGGCCAGACTGGCGGCCGATCCCATGCCTCCCACGCCGCCCAACACCGACATGAACTGCTGGGGCGACATGTTGTTCAACAGGCCCTGGAGGTCGCTGTCCGGTAGGGACGACAAGTCGGCTAAGGCTGAGGTGGGCGACAGCCCCCCACTACCAGCCCCTCCGGCGCCTGTACCCGAGCGCGAGCCCGGCGCTGGCGGGTTATTGATGTATTCGTTGAACTTCTGGACCCACTCGTCATCCTTGTCCTCCTTGGGCTCCTGTGACCAGTAGAACAGCCGCCGCGACGACGGCTTGAACTTCAGGACAAACACCCGGCCAGTCGTGCATTGAGTCACGCGCTTGAACTCAGCCTCGTCTGGGAATATGATTAAGTCCTGCGCGGAAAGTGGTGGTGAGGGGAAGGGTGGGCACCGGTAGACAAATAGTGGACACAATTAATGGTTATAATGAGGGGAACGGGAGGGGAAAGGCTACTCACGTCCTCCACGTGTCCCGTTTGTCGGTCTTTCCAGCAGAAGTGCATCAGCGAGTCGTCCGGCGACTGATGGAGATATACCAGTCCTTTGCGGCCCTTCACGGGACTCACCTAATGGGTCGGGAGGACAGGTATGTCGTGTTAGTGGTAGTGATTGGGTGGACAGGTATGCGTGTACTTACGGTAGCGCCGTTTTGGGTCATTTTGCCGGCTCTGAACTCCACCAGGTATTGGCTCCGGGTTTGGGCGCCTGTATTACCGCCGAATAGGAAGGGTGGGCGCGACATAACTGTCCACTGATTTAGTAAATGATTAGTAAATTGAGATAAAAATGATTTTTGACTACAATTTTGAGTCAATGACTGAATGAATGGCTTTTGAAAAAGTGTTGTCTCATTGATTGTGACATAAGAGGCGATGTTTTGGACCTTTTTGTATGTATAGCTTACGCGTATTAATAGTTACTTATATTTTATATGTAAACGTATCAAAACATCGATGTTCAATAAACTATACATAAACACTGTATATGTGATTAAAATCGCTACCCTTTATGAAAATCAAATTTAAAATAAGTTTTATATAAATCACAAAATTAAAATACAATTTATCATTCATTTAATGAGTTTATAAATGCGTTCAAAACAACGTTTACACGTATTTATATACTTAATTAAAAGTAAAATTAACAAAAAAAGGTCAATTTGCCAGTTCCCCTTTCCATATGTATTAGTACTACAGTATTACAAATAATTGAATGACCTTTTTTTGTTAATTTTACTTTTAATT